GATCTCGGCTCACTGCAACGTCCGCCTCCCAGGTTCAAGTGATTCTCCTGCCTCAGCCTCCTGAGTAGCTGGGATTACAGGCACCTGCCACTACGCCAGGCTAATTTTTTGTATTTTTAGTACAGACAGGGTTTCACCATGTTGGCCAGGCTGGTCTTGAACTCCTGACCTCAGGTGATTCACCCGCCTCCGCCTCCCAAAGTGCTGGGATTACAGGCGTGAGTCACAGTGCCTGACCAGGGCACCTTTTCAAATGTCAGCAGACAGTGTGACTCCTCTGCTTCACACCCCGAGGTGGCTCCTGTCTATGGCTCTGTAGAGGCCCATGGGGCCAAACAAAATCCACCTCCCTGTCCTCAGCGCCTGACACTCTTCCTCTCATGCCCTCGGCTTCCATCACACCAGCTTCCCTACTGCTCTCCATACACCCCATGTTCTCCCACCACAGGGTCTGTGCATGTGCTGTGCCCTCTGCCCAGTGCTCTTCCCGCAGAGATGTGTGTGGCTCCCTCCCCTCAGGTCTGCCCAAACCTCACCTTTCCTGAGCACCACCCCACCCTGTGAGCGCTGACCCCCAGGGCATCAGCACCAGCTGGTGGGCTGTGCAGTTGCTGTGCTCACTGTCTGGTACCCACGGAGGGCAAGCACTACCAGGGCAGGCTCTTCCTGCCCCCAGGGCCTGCCCAGCATCTGCCCAGAGGAGGCTGGTGAAAGGTAGCTCTCCGTTAGCACCTAGAGCACCCGGGGTGCTGTTCACATCTCACAGGTGAAGGATGGGCCTGTGCAGGAGCTCAAGCCTGACTCTGGGCTGGCTCCAGAGCCGGCCCTGTCACCAGTCGGGACCACTGCATGGAGCCCAGCCCACCCACTCCTTAAGGGCAGACTCTGAGCTGGGTCTGAGAAGGCCCTCAGTAGTGTCCTCACCTCATAGAAGAGCCCCTCGGGGAAGGGCCGGAAGCACTGGGCACACACGAAGCAGTGCTCATGGTACAGCTCCCCATTGCTGTTGACAATGCGCTCAGCGGGGGTGAAGCGGGCCTGGCAACGCTGGCACACGGCATTGGCCAAGGCGTCCGACATGTTGCTG